TATAAAGTGTTTCATAGAATAGAAACTTATTTTATGAGGTTATAATAACCCTAGAATTAAATCCAGACAAGGGCAGTACAAGAAAAGAAATGATAGACAAATTTCCTTTATAAACGTATATGAAAAATAATAAATATAAGTATAAAAATATGCAAAAATAAAAATAAATGTTGACAAATCAAACTTGACATTATATTAACAAATATATCATGGAAGAAAAGATAAATGTTTAGGTGACGGATACGCTATCTACCCCAAATGAATCATTGTATAATATATGCATGTATTGACACAGTGCACTGTACTCCACAAATATGTACAATTAAAAANAACCCTAGAATTAAATCCAGACAAGGGCAGTACAAGAAAAGAAATGATAGACAAATTTCCTGTATAAACGTATATGAAAAATAATAAATATAAGTATAAAAATATGCAAAAATAAAAATAAATGTTGGCAAATCAAATTTGACATTATATTAACAAATATATCATGGAAGAAAAGATAAATGTTTAGGTGACGGATACGCTATCTACCCCAAATGAATCATAGTATAATATATGCATGTATTGACACAGTGCACTGTACTCCACAAATATGTACAATTAAAAATAAAATAAAAGTAAATAAATAAAATAAAATTTTATAATGGCTAACATGCCAACCTAAAAAAAAAAAAAATACATCATAGCCAAAGGATTTGTCCCTGGTGATCTTAGTCTGACTGAGCTAGGCCATAAGGTTTAGAAGAAAATATAAGAGAAGTTTGTAGAAAAATAGAATTAAAAGACAATACAAATCTTCCCATGAACTTTTTGAAGTACCTTTGTATATATAACATATATATTATATAAAGAAAAAATATATAGTGAGTCATGTTATGCTTTTAGGACTGTGTTAATTTTTGCTATTTGCATATACTTCCATATATGACTTGTATCTTTTATTTTTTTTAATGTTCGAATCTTAAAAATTGCAATTTCCACTTGGGTTCACTTTATTTCCATGACCTGCCAGGCTGGCCAGTGGTTTATAAGCAATGGGAAGGAGGGGTATAGAATTAAAAACTGGCTTTCCAAGTCTGAAAAGAGCCCAGATTTTCCATTCTTGGGCCTGAGTGCTGAACAAGTGTTAAAGGAAAGTTACTTATTTAAAGTCCTGGTAGCACCCCCATTTCCTTGATGGAAAGTGCATCTCAGGACATATATGCACAGAGCTAATTTTGCCCTTCTGGACTGCTCGTGGTTCACATGGGTTGACTGTTGATCTGTAAATACCAGGAAGTGCTCCTCTACAGTCCTACCTTTACCTGCTTTAGATGGGTTCAGTAGATTGGTATCCCACATACATTTTTGTGCATACAGGTATTCTCTTGCTAAAACAGTTTTGATTACGTGGCTTGACCAAGAAGGAATGCGGTGCTGCGGCAGAGACACAGTTGGCTTAAAACCGCAACCAGACACTTTGTTCTCAAATGTGGAGATAACAGCAGAGCCATCAGTGTGTGCGTGGGGCTGTGGGCTCCCTCCTCCATGCCCCTCAAAAGGACTCTGCAGTGTGGGGGAAGGGCTGACCGGATGGGGCTCTTGCCAGACACACAGGGTCCAGCATCAATGCCTATTAAAAGCCCAGGCTGGTCATTGAGAGGCTGGCGTCCCAGGCTGCTCCTCCCCAGCTGCCTCGCCCCCAGCTCAGCATTGCGGGGCCTCAGCTTCCTGCCACTTCTGAGCTCCAGCCTCTTCGGCAGTCGGAGCTGGTTCTCAGATGATCTGTGGATCACCATGTCTGTGGTGTAACTCAACTGGCCCACTTCTGGACTCCTTCGTTGGCTGAAATGTTGTTTCAGGGCTAGTGTCACATAACTAATCCACCACAACGTCAGGAAGTGTAGGTGGGGGCTGCAAGCTGCTCAATTTCTTTCCTCTCAGCAACCAAGGCTTCTGGGATAGCAGCCAAAACTGCCCTTAGGGAGCTGGAATCTAGAGGTGAAAGCAGAAATAAACAGGAAACCCCACAAGAAACAGGACATGAGACCTGTGACTAGGAAACCCAGGTGCTGAGAGAACACACAGAAGGCCACCTTACCCACATGGGGGAACACTTGTGAAACCATCTAGAGCAGGAGACACCTGAGC